GGCGTCTACTATTGAGAAGCAGGGTGGCCAGATGTGCTGTTAGTGTAATATACACACCAGCTTTGGAAGACTTAAGTTTTTAAATGTGTTTTAAATTTATTGAGCCGCCCTTCTGTTTTTTCTCGCCAGCTCTTACGCAGACCCAGTTTAGAGAGCAGGTGTAGGAGGCGCTGTTCTGCTCTGGGCGGGCCATGTGGGCAGCGCTGACAGCTTCACCCCACTCCCTTCCTCCCTGTCGCTCTCCTCTTGGGCTCCCAGCCCTCCCAGATCTGCTCTGATCTTTCCATGTTAAAGATGGGGAAACAGAGGATTTGAGAAGGGAAGGCACTTGCCCAAAGTTCCAAGGACACTAGACCCAAACCCAAATGTGCTCAATTCCCTCCTAGCACATCCACCAGGTGCAGGGCTAGGCACAGAAACATGAAGGCAAATAAGACACAAGCCCCTACCTGAGGGAAATTGGGGTCTGATGATATATATCGGGGAGCAGGGTTGGGGAGAGGTGGCAACTTCAGCAGCTGCCTCGTAATAATGGCTCCTATTTGTTGAGCCTGCGTTGACCACACAACAGCCCCAGGCTTTATACCTTATTTGCTTGTTGCTACTTAATCCTCCCAACACTCCAGGAGGTGAGTACTGTTACCCTCTCACTGTGTGGATAAGGAAACCCAATCCAGTGATTTTCAGCTTTTTATTTTTAGCAGCTGAATTCTTTCTTCAAGAGATATCTTATATGGAACCCCAAATAAAATCAGGGGCTAGTCCCCTTGCTTAGCCTCTCCCCTTTAGACTCCTGCAGGGACCCTGGAAGGGCTTTCTCAGAGCCTGAGCACTTTCCTGGGCACAGTTTAAAGACCACCCATGTGATGCAATTCGTGGATGTCCCCAAGGGGAATAGGTTCCATGCAGAATTTCCCAGCCCATTAACGATCGTTTTACAGATGAGCAAACAAAGGCCCAGAGGAGGAAAGGAACTCCTCGAGTGTCCCCATGGGAGTTAGTGCCAGAAGTCCTACTCCAGCCAAAGTCTTATGAATCTCAGGCCTGTGTCCATCCATGACACATCTTTTATTAGGAAATGGAGGCCTTTTATCAACAGCTATAAACTACCACCTCTTCTAAGCTATATTTTAAGGCCGAGCTTGTAGTGGGCTCTAGTGACACATGGTTTTCACCTCCGCCCCCCATCTCTTCCCCACCTCCAGTTCCCACACGTCACTGATCACAGGAGAGTCTAGCTTTAGAGAAACCAACCCTGGGAGCCAAGTGGATGAGTGTGGCTTGAAGCTCACAGCTCCAGAGTTTACCCTGGGAGTTCTCCATTCCTCTCAGCTCATTTAACGTGATGCTTCATCGCTTTGTAATATTCACAGGACACTTGACATCAGAAAGGACTGTTTAAATCCTCTGAAATAGGACTTTTAAAATTCAACAGCTCCTTAGAGGGTGTAAGTGGATTGTTAACCTTCTTGTAAGCCCTAAGAAGAAGACTCGATCCTCAGGAAATTGAATGATTGCGCCCCTCAGAGTGACCTCTCTAGAGGTGGCCTGCCATGGAGCTCTGTCCCTCCTTCAATGGGCCCAATAGTTGCTGCCTACTTCTCTCTTCCTTGCTCCTTCCCTGTTCCTTTTTCCCAAGCTGGCTTTAATATGGATTCCTCTCTCCCATGTTCCCTCTTCCTGGCTTATCTCTTCTCCAGGGTCTGTCCAGGACTTTCCCTAATGCTTCTAGTGCAAACCATCTGGGAAATGAGTCTGCTGGAAAAGATCACAAGCATGGGAAGCTCCCAGGGTCCCAAACCTGTCCTAGCTGGTGCTGTCCCCAAGTCCCTTCTTGTGTGAGTCTGAGTACCTCCCTCTTATGATCCAGAGATGAGTTGAAAGCTTTTTCCAAACTTTGTTTCATGAGATTCCAATTCCAGTAATTTCTCAGAGACATGGTTTCATGGTCAAAAGGGCTGGGAAATTCTGCTTGTAACCTACCCCTCTTGAAGACATCCAATGTGTGGAAGCATACCAAAAATTTTGAGACGTCCTACAGTTCAGAGTCCTGTGGAACTTCATATAACCCAAAACCTGTTTGAGTGCCCAAAACTTGCTTTGCAGCCCACCTGAATGATGCTAGTTCAGAGGTGTCTCTGTGAGTTGCTTCTGGAAGCCTCCAACCCCTTCCCTAGGATTTCTTTTGGACCCGAGCTGGAGACCACAGATCCTCTCCTGGCTCTTCTTAGGAAAAGCCAAATTAGGTTATTCTCTGAGAGCCTTCAGGAAGGTTTTTTCCATCTATACCAGAACATTGTCAGCTGCTTTCTTTGGAAGTAAATAGAAATGAATCAAGGGGGGGGGGCATTTATGGTCTGAACATTGCATTCCTAGGGTCTGCTCAAAGGAAGACGTCAGGCCAAGCTGAGCCGTTCTTAGAGAAAAGGGTGGCACTGGGGTTTTCTGTATTTGGGAAGCAAGTTCTTTTTTATCAAGGCAACTGTCACACACTTGGATTTCTCCTACAAATATGTCCACACTTGCACAAACTTCCATTAATAACACGTATCTCTGCTTTCTGAAATGGAGGCTCTTTCTGTTAGCTTAATAAACTACAATTTTAGTTTATTTGTAATTACTTTAATTGTTTTTAATTAACAACACCTCCATCTTTTTGATTGATTAGTTGGTTGTCTTTTCCTAGTTCTTGTTTCTCTGTACTCTGGAAAATCTCACTAGTCATTTCACAGATGAGCCATGGGTTTTATTTGTTTGTTTGCATGGAGTGGGTCTAAAGGACTGCTATGAAGAAGATGATACTGATTGTATTAGTTTACTAGGTCTTCCATCACAAAGTACCACAAACCGAATGGCTTAAACAACAGAAATTTATTGTCTCCAAGTTCTGGAGGCTAAAAGTGCAAAATCAAGGTATTGTCAGGTGTTCCTTCCAAGGGCTGTGAGGATCTGCGCCAGCCTCTCCCCCAGCTTCTGGGGGTTTGCTGGCAAGCTTTGGTGTTCCTTAGCCTGTGGCAGCATCACCCTGATCTCTGCCTTCATCCTCTTCACATGGTATTCTTCCTGTGTGTGTGTCTGTCCAAATTTCCCCTTTGTATTAGAACACTATTCACGTTGGACTAGGGGCCCACCCTTCTCCAGCATGACCTCATCTAAACTTAACTAATTAAGTCTGCAACGAATGTACTTCCAAGTAATGGCAAATCCTTACTTGCAATGTGGTACTGGGCTACTGAGATACTAGGGGTTAGAAATTCAGTATATGAATCTGGGCGGGGGACACACTTCAACCCATAATACCAGTTCTATACATAACACCACATTCCATTCCACTGCATTTAAGGAAGCCCCGAGCTGATAGCTTACCTTTTAGCTGTCAGTTTCAGAAAGGAAGGCTGATGGCTTAGCTCACGTAGGTTGAAGGACAGGTGGGAACAGGCTCAAACATCAAACACAGTGATGCTAGCAGCTTCTGCAGCAAGCTGACATTTTCCATTTTCCAAGAGGAGAAGAGCCCAGAATCTCCTCAGGGCTGTCTGACTGTACCAACAATAGCAGGTAGAGAACTGGAATTGGGTTCATTTCAATTAAAAAAAACTTCCTGTGTGACCCTGGGTTGGGCCCTGAAGAGAGCGAATGAAGCAAACCCAGACCCTGCCATGTGGAAGCCAAGGGAGACAGACATGCAAGCTGTGTGGAGAGGTGTAGACCCAGTGCTGTGGCCACCATGAGCTTTGCCTAGTGAGGGGACACTAAGCCTTCACAGAGGAGGTGACGTGTGAGCTGGGTTTGTCATGTTATCAGACAGTTTCAGCCCAGCCAGCTGGAGGACAGAAGGGCTTAAGGCCCTGTTGTGCCTCCCTGGTTAGGCAAGAGGCAATGTGGTGTAGAGGGGAGCACCTGGGGTCGGATGACAAGGGTCCTGAGTTAAGCCCTAGGCCACCCCTCAGTTTCTTCACTGATAAATGGTTTTAATTAAAACACTCAACAGGGCATAGCATCAGGATCAAATGAATTCACAGGTGTGAAAATATGGTTATGAGAAGTAGCAGATACAGGATCCGAACACAAGTGCTGGGGATCGGATATGCCCTGGGCCATGAGCAGCAGTCTTTTCTAGCAAAGCAGAGTAGCTTGGGATGCAGCAGACATGGACACCAGGCTCCCTGGACCTACGGGCCAATTTCTCCCTTTGAGCCAGCTCCCTGGGGGATGCAATGAGGGATCTGGACGAGGTGGTCTCCTTCTGGTCAGGACACTAGGTGATTCAATGAAAAAAGGTGTTGGAATACAATGGTTTGGGCTCGGAAAGCCACCAGACCTGGGTTCAAATGGTGGTTCTGCCTCTTCTTGGTAGTGTGATTTGTGGGAGTCACTCAACCTCTCTAAGCTCAACGTCCTCATCTGAAAATGGGTTTTATTAGAAAATCCTTGTAAATTGCTTAACACACAGCTTGATATTTGGTAGTGAGAGTTAGCTATTACTGTTGGCTGTTTTTTTATGAGGGTTGAATGAAATATTTTAGGTAACGAGCGTGCAATGAGCGTGCAGACAGCAGCTGCTCAGTTATCGATTTATACTCTCCCCTCTCCCCCCACCCCCGCACCTTGAAGATCAGCTTTGGTAGAGCCCCCAGCATTCATATTTCCTTAGAGGTGAGGGATGAAGGGTGGACAGTTGTATGGAAAACTAGTTAAACTACTTGAAGGATAAAATAGTGTTCAGGTACTCATAAGCCATTTAGAGTCACCTATTACTTGTAATTAGTTTTCATGCCAGTACAATCAATTATGATTCATTAAATCACACGCCCTCAATATTTTTACCTCACACAGTTTTAGTAGGGAATTAGTCCAACTTACTGCAGTGTGCCACTATAGTAATTATTATCCTGACGATTCATGAAATATGCCCAGGCCACCATGTGAATGAGAAGCATTTCTTTGCCCTGACAGCAAATCCAAGAAGGGTCTTTCTAAGATCATTCTCTTTCTGGTAGGTCTTAGATCAGCACAGAAACTCGGAAGACAAAGACAAGTTCGACAATGTCGTACAGACGAGAACTAGAGAAATACCGTGACCTGGATGAAGATGAAATCCTTGGAGCCCTAACAGAGGAAGAGCTTCGGACCCTGGAAAATGAGCTGGATGAGCTGGATCCTGATGTGAGTAGCACTAAAGGGGACCACAGTGTCACAGGCGCAGGGACAGCAACCATCACCGTGTTGGGGAGGGACAGGTGCAGACTCCCTGAAGCCACCACTTCTTTTCTTCTGTGACAATCACATTGGAATAACATTGCCTTGTGTGTGTGTGTGTGTGTGTGTGTGTATTTTGTATGAGTCAAGGTTCTCTAACAGAACCAATAGACATATATACATGTAGAAAGAGATTTATTATAAGACACTGGCTCACACGATTATGGAGGCTGACAAGGACCAAGGTCTGCGGTCAACAAGCTGAAGACCCAGGGTGGCCAATGGTTCTGTTCCAGTCCGAGTCCAAGGGCCTGAGAACCGGGAGAGCTGATGGTGTAGTTTCAGTTGAAAAGCTAGCAGGCTTGAGACCCAGGAAGAGCCGATGTTTCAGTTCTGCTCTTCTCCTTGATATCCCATTACTTAAGTATTGTGATGTAAAATTAGCAATTAAAATTAACAATTAAATACTATGATATAAAATCAATACATCTTATGTTACACAATAAGAGAATAACAGAGGGTAGAAAACAAAGGTATTTGCTTAATGCTCTCACACATACACGCAAACATATTCATAACAAAACAAGGAGGAAATATGACAGTTACAGTCTTGTTTCTCTAACTGGTCACATGGTTTGTAGCTAGTATTTATAACTAACTACCTTCGTCCACTGCCTGTTCTGTATTCCCTTTACTTTTAGCAAGCGCCTAGCTGGTCATGGTTCTTTGCCTGGCTGGATTCCCCAAGCCTTCATCTTGAAGGGTCTGGGCCATTATGAATCCTGCCAGGATTGGGTTGTTGTAGTTTTCCATGGGCTGTAATCACAGGGCATGGTAAGACTAAGAAAGCCCTAAGCAATATCCTATATTGTAGACATATACTTCCCTACTCTCATTGTGTAGCCGCAGTCCAATTTCCCCTTGGCCATGAGGGTGACTCACCCCAGCCAATGCAGAAACTCCATCTCTGTCTATCGATCCAGACGTGCCCAAAGTGGTCAGGTGGCTGGCTTTGCTTCCAGTCCAGTGGAATCATTGTCGTGTCTCCTGATGGAAGCACACATCCCTTCGGAACTCGGACCTTTAGGCCAGCAGACCATAAGGTCACAAAAATGGGAAGCACAAATTTTGCTAGTGAGTCTCTAGGGGTCATAGCGAATGGTGCCACTTCATTTCTACCCTTGATTCCTGGACCTGTGAATCCTGGCTATGGAAGAAGCAGCATCATGTGTTGGACACTGATTCGGCGCATTTATATTCTCCTAGAGAACCTTGCCCCAGCCCTGCAAGGTGTTGCCACATAGCTAGTACTGTACCTGAGTCTGCAAAAGCCTGTTCCACTGTTCTAGCCAGCGAGCTATCAGGATGGTGGGGAACAGGTGTCATGGACTGAATTAGCTAAGAAATAAAGGACTAGAAGGGTCCCTTTCACTAGTTTGATGTTTTTATCATTGCATTTCATAGTTGGCACATTTAAAAAGTGTGTTTAATGCTCAGAATTCGCCTCAACCATCGGGATCACAGAATCTAGATACAGGAGGCTCTCGGGTCATGTCTATGGTTTGGCCATGAGCAGGGATAGGGAGGGAGGGATTCCTCGATGGCCTACTAGACAGGGACCTTCATCTTATATCTCTATCCCAGGTACCCAGGTCAATGCCCGCCCAGCACAGAGAAGGTGGATAATGAATGTGACTGAATTAATTGAATTTTCCATTTGATATATTTTAAAATTAAAGATGGAACATTTCATGCCTTTAAAAAAAAACCTGTCATGGCTCAACTCTAGTTTAACAGTGATCTATAAAAAAAAGAACACTTCTATACCATTTTCCTAACCCTCACGTAAGCACAACTAATGTAGTGGGAGTGTAAGTTAGCAGGAAAAATACAGGACTAGAGGTTAGATGTCCCAGTTCCATCCCTGGCCCTGTCTCTTACTCTCCATGTGACCTTGAACCAGTCCTTACCTAGGTCTCAGTGTCCCCATCCATGCAATGATGGGGTTGGTTTGTCCCTTTCAGGGCCAAGCTTCCATGAGCTTATAACCTGGTCTTATCTCCAGATTTGATTAAATGGCTTCTTTTTAGGTAACCCAGAATCCTTGTCTAGGCATCCTGGGTCCTAGGCCCCATAGAATGACAGATCCCTAGAGCAGCATGCTGTCATCTTGCTCTTCAAGACTCCCCCTGCCCAGCCACAAGGAGATGGTTCCCCTGGTGAGGCTGCGCAGGTTGATTAGAGGCCATGTTGGTGGGAGAACTTTGGGTTCCTCCTTCCCCTGCACCATGGCTCTGCATTAGCCTGAGTTTCAGTCAAGACAAGTGATGTGGGCAAGAAACAATCAAACTTCCAGCTTTATGGCTGTAAAATTATTCTGTTCTAATTCTATCCTAGATCACTGCCACATAGCATTACAAGAACAAACAGCTTTCAAAAGTGCGAACAAAAGGGGGATGTAGCTGCTTATAGGCAACTCGATAAACATGGCTCAGTTACCTGCTGGGCGCCAGACCCTGTGCCAGCCACCGACAGGGGAGCCTGGCGGGGATTCTGTCCTTTAGGTGCTCAGGCCGTGGGAAGCCAGCATAATAATCTGCATCCTAAGCGGGAGCAGACCGGAGCTCAGGGAGAAGCTTAATTCTTGCTGGTGGGAGGCTTCACAGAGCAGGTGATACTGGAACTGGGCTCTGGATTTTTCTAAGTCAAGGATAAAAATAAAGACTTCTAGGCCGAGTGAAGGCCATGAGCAAAGGCCTCTTTTGTAGAAGGTAACTGGGGACAGGGAGTCTCGGTGTGGTTTCTGTGGAGGTTAGATAAGCCTGGAAGGGGGGCTGGGCTAGATAAAGAAGGGAGGGGTTACTGAAGAGTTGGGGTTGGTCTCAATAGGCCCAGGGAGCCTCTGAGGGGTAGTGACTCAGCAGACTTGCTGTCTTGGGACAGATGGGCTGGAGGAGGTGCCAGGGAGGTGAGTGAGAGATGGAAGGGGCTGAGGTGGGAGCTCCCATCGTCCTGGCCAGCTGGTGGTGGGAGAGTTCTTTTCTGAAGATAAGAAAGGTCCCCTGCCCCTCTCCGCAAGCCTTCTACCCTATTGCAGAATCTTTGCTGTTCCCAGGACCGAGAAGCGCAGACCCCAGCGGCCTTGCAACACCTGCTGCCTCTAGCCATTGGGGTTGTGGAGTTGCTCTGAGCAGCTGGGTAGAGATGAGGTTAGATTAGGCTGTGACTGCAAATCGGGCAGGTGATGACAAGTGTCAGAGGCAAGCTTCAGACCTGGGAGTGGGGAGGAGCGGTTGGAGGAGCCCTCTCAGAAGGAGAGTGGAATCCCTCAGGACTGCTTGATTTCTAGCTGGGAGCTCTGCTTCACTTCTTTTTTTTTTTGATTTTTTTTTTTAATTGGGGAATTGGGGGAAGGGGAGCAGAAAAGTTGCTATCCTTTTGTTCTTCAGTCTAGTTGTGGAGGACATTGCTTCACTGGCCCAAGTTGGCATCATCATTGCGCTCTTCCCAGGCGAGGCAGATCAGTCGCCGGCTTCTGGACAGCCGCTCACACTGGCTGCTGGCTACACACGGCAGCCCATGGCAACCCACTGCCACAGGGGCTGCAGCCTACGCCGTCACCGCCAACTCACAGCAGCCCAGCTCCAGGTTAAGCAGTTGTTCAGCATCTTAGCTGTAGAGGGCAGTGTCACTGGCCCTCATATGTGGGATCTGAACTGGGGCCCTCTGGGGTCCCAAACCAGCTCTTAACCATCGCGTTACTCGGCCGGCCCTCTGTTTCATTTTTAAACTGGCAAATGGCTCCCACAGTGCCCCCACCTCAAACATCAGGGTATCTGGCCCCAGCAGCAAGTTCCCAGCGTCTCTATACCTCTCACACAGCCAGCTCCCCCTGAGCCCTTCTCCCAGGTGGTTAACAGGAACGAATGCTTGTGTCCTTTGGAGGGATGGAGAACCTAGAGCTCCGAGAGCTGTCAACTCACCTAATGTCACAGGACCAGGCGTGGAGACTCAGATTTCTAACAGGCTCCTGAGTGCATGCACCTCGCTCTCTGGCAGGAGGTAGGTAACTGTGTATTTGAATTTAGGAGTAGGGCTGGGCAATCTGAGACCTGTGACTCTCACACCATTGTGGTTTCCAAATGGACATTCTCAAAGACCTCTTTCTTTCTAAGTTCAAGGAAAAGAAAAGAGAAATCAGAGAGAGGGTAGGAGATAATAAGGTCCAGTGGATTTTTTTGTCCCAGCCACACAATTGGCTCCTTCACAGAGATGTCTCTGTTACCTGATTTGCAAGTCAGTATGCAAGTTTTAAAAAGATCGAGTGGGCCTCCCTTCTTTCTGAGAGCACAAACATTCCAGCTTACATTTCACCCTCCCTTGGCCCATGTTCTGAAATCGCAGAGCAGGGAGAGGCCAAAGGTATGCAGGCCGTGAGAGGCCTGGAGAGGACACGGGGGACCAGAAGGTGTCCAGCCCTCCAACTTACGGAGCAGGAACTGAGTCCAGTGAAGGGAAGAAACTTACTCTAGGTCACACGACTAAACAGAACCAGACCAGAATCCAGGTCCACTGTCCCCTCTGTTATACTCTATATGTTCCTGTTTTAATTTTTGTTTAACAAGTGCTTATGTGGCCCTTTCTATGTGCAGGTACTGTTTTAAGCACTTGGAAAATATTAAATCATTCAACCATCTTCATAATCCTATGATGCAGACACTGTTATCATCCCCATTTTACAGACCAAAAAAAAAAAAAGCCCAAGAAGTGAAGTAATTTGTCCATGTCCCACAACTAAGCAGTGACTGGGCTACTGTGCTGTAAAGCTTCATGGGAGTCTCCCAGAAGGCAGTCTGAACCACAGATGTGCTCTCGTTTTGTACGGGGGAGGGTGCTATATGCAGAATCATCTTCCTTTCCTTTTGGAAACAACCTGAGATGCAGAAGTTCATGTTCATCCCTGGCTC